TTGTGGTCCTCTGCTTTGGGGATCTCTAGATCTAAGTAACATGCACTAGATCTTCTCCTCACTGATGTATTATTAACCAAATCAGAAACATTAGAGGCGAGCTACACACTCCAGAGCAGACTCCTAGAGTGTCACAGGACCAGCTGGGGACTTTTCCAGAACCAGTGGTTTGTACAGTGCAGCTTTGGGCACCTATGTATGTTGGCACACCTGCAAATTCTACTGATAAATGCTTATCGACTCAACTTTTGTGCAAATATGCAAGGCAAAACCCTAAGGCATTCACTCAGAAGTAAGTCCCACTGAATCCCACTGAACCCATTTCAAGGTAGAAATAGGCACCGTGTACTTTTGGACTTCTGTTGCTGAGCTAAGAATGTTCGATAGATTTTCTTAAAACCAGAAATCAGTAATAAAATATATTTCTACGCTGCACCTACTCCGTTTCAAAATGCCCTGACATGCAAGTCCACATCATAGATTTGCAGCTGGAGTCCACGGACTTCAATGGGTTGAGGAGAAGGGCATAACTCTGGCAAGGATGGCACTGCTGGGCTTTGGCATCATGAGTAAATCACCTGCAAGGGCACCGCTTCACCCACTGAACTCAAAATGAGGAGCTGACTGCTCATTTACTCCACACAACGAAGCAGCACACAGATTTATCCTGGCAAATACACATCATGGTTTTCAGAAGCAGCCAAGAAATAACCGCCTCTGAACTATGACCAATGGATAACAGATAAAGTGGCATGTTCTATCGGAGCAGCTAGGAGTGTATGAATACAAAAGCTTCAAGTATTGCAGCTCCCATAACTAAAAGAGTTCTGTGTTAGCTTAAAAGCAGACACATTTTTTACACCAAAACTGGGTGCAGCAAAATATATCCCTTTACCTATTTCAGTCTTCTGGGAACAGATGTGAAAAACGGCGCATAAACGGGCCTGAGAAAACAGGTTAGATATTGCAATCTCTGTGCTACTTCACAGATGACGTTTTGGTGGTACACCTAATATGTAATGTGCAGACAAGATATGTCTGCAAAAACAGATGCTTCACATCGGTATGATAGTCAGCAACTGGTTCTATGATGCATGCAGAGTAAAAGAGCTCTATATGCTGCAGCCTAATTCAAAACATGTTTACTTGAACTGTTCAATCTGTTCTTACTTCTTAGTAAGTATGTTTGGGACTGCAACCAAACTGTAAGCTTACACACAATTCATCCAGAAAAACCTATGACCGTGACCATGGGGCTTGATTCACAGGTTACTTTATGATGCCTTCCTTGCTCACTACAGTGACCAGCCCAAGAGCAGAATAATGTGGGAATCTGGAACTCGTGCTTCTGGGATAACAAGAGTTTCAAAATACACCTTCTAGATGGCCCAAGCTGCCACACTGGAGACCCTTAAATTCCTACATGTCAGCTACTCCCAGGCATTAAAAGAAATATCCAAAATAAGAGGCAAACGCAGAGATGGGCAGGCGGAGCCTACTTTAGCAAGGAGGGCATGCTCGGAACTGCTGCAAGCATCACAATGGCTCTTGGGCTGAAGGAAAGACTATCAGCGAAAGCCACAAAACTAACCGATTGCAAAGAGAAAGGTTTAAAAAGTCTTGTGTAACAAAAATAGTCATTGTGCACAAAATTTACCCAAGCAATTAAAAAACAAACTAACAACCTCACAAGTACAGGTTCACATGTATGTGTGGTATATAACAATAGGGAGCACATTTCAGAGCGCGGGATTCAGAGCCAACCGTTATGAAGCCCATTTCATCATAAAGCTCTTTTCTGAAATGCACAGAAATATCACACAGTCTTACCTGTAGAAAATAAATACTGTCAGTACAAATGTTTCACGATCCCTTTAGGCTGTTACAGAAAGAAGGCGGTTCTGCACAGGTTATCAAACACCTGATGGGACTTTACCCGGAGGAGGACTCCTTTTGGCTGCACATGTTCCTGTGGCTTGGTTCACACGCTAAGCGTGAAGATAATTTTGTGCAATGCAGCAGTCACACGTCACCACTGATTCTAAGCTATATTTACACGCGCTTCTGCCTGTGGGCCAAGAGCAGCCTGAAGTAGTGTTGTAGCACTAAAAGGACCAAAAGCTCTGCAGGCACCTTAGAGATTCTCTGGCTGAATTGGGTATGTCGTAAATCCAGGGAGGCGGAGGATCGCCCTGAGGAAGTAGGGGGGGTTGCCTACTCAGGGCAGTGATTCAAGGAAAAGGGGAAAGGCAAATCGTACTTACGTCCAGACTAGCAGTTCCATGCGCTCAAGGACTTCAGCCTGTGGAGCGTGATTTTCTCACCGCCCCTTCCCACACCAGCCCTAAATGCACCCCAAATCCTGCTCCAGGGATTCCCCTATCTCCCAAGAACAGGATTTAAGGTGATTTTGAGCTGCTGGGGGGAGGGAGAGGAAGGTTGCACTGCACAGGCAGAAGGCCTTGGGCTTGTAGGAATACCTGGTTAGCACCCAAGCCCATGCAAGTGTGGTCAGAGTTCTCTTAAGATTCCTACTGGCAAAAGAGACAAGCTTCCTTCGAAGTAGAACTACTTTTTCTACCAGTGGGGCATTACCACACGGGCCCTTGCATGAATTTATCTTTCTTCTCTTCTGATCTGAACTTTGCTCTAAGAACAATTAGAAAACGTCCGCTTTATTTCTACTTAGCAAGCTCCCCCGTGACACCGCAGACAGGTTCCAGGGGAGGGGGAGTATCTGCACTCAAACGTTTTTGTGTGTGTGTGGGGGGGTATGTGAGAAAAAAAAAAAGTAATCTTGCTTAGGAAGTACTTGGCACCTCGTAAGACTAGGACAGCCAAGCAGAATAGTGAAGCTCAATACGTATTCTCGGTCAGACAAGAAAAACAAACTTTCCTATTCTTCCTTGAAACATATCCACACATCATTGCTAAGCCACAAGCCAAGACAACAGAAACTTAATGCACTTAATGCAAATCACTGTGTCCGCTGGCAAAATGTACAACTCCCCCCCCCCCGCACAATCATATGGCAGCATCAAGTGAAAGTGGCATTAAGACATTCTCCCAAACATGGGTCACAAATTAGAATTTTTTGGTGTGAAGCTACTCTGACATTAATAATGTTTTCCATCAATTTTAAAGCTCCCCGTGCCAACCAGGCTGTCTGAATCGGCAGCTTCCCCACGGCAGTTGAAAGAAAACAAGTTGCAAAGACACATTAAAGGTGTTTAGTTGGCTTGCAGATGCTACACGATGGTGCATTTTTATTACATTTCACTCAAACATCCCTTATTGACAGCTTATTACTGTGGGAACATTCTGAGAGAGGGACCCATACAGATCTTTCAGTGAAACTTAATTAAAAAAAAACCCTTTTTCCGTTGCTCCATTCTTTTTTCTTTCTCTGCCTTGGTGTACCCCCCCTTGCTCATAGATGCTGCATACCGAATGAATAAACGCTATGCTACATATGAATTGGATTGATTTAGATTTGTCACTTCTGATTCATGCTTCTATGCCGATTCAGTGTGATCCACAGATTATGACCTCTTTTTTTTAAACAAGGTCACAAATGCACCAGTAACGGTCTAAATCCTGATCATTTCCTATGGTTCCAAGCATCAAATAGTTTTGTTGCATCTGGACTGAGAAGTGAACATGGGTCTGGGGGGGGAATGCTACTAATGCAGGGGAAAAATGATTTCCCTTTCGTTGTTTGAGTGGTGCTTGAAGCGCTGGCCCCGTGGAACGGTTCCGGTTTCAAAACAGTCAGTTCCATGTTGCATTGAACAGGAAAAGATAGGTCTTGAGCTAGAATGTCTGAGAGCAATAGCAGGCTGTATGTTTGCTTCTGCACTCATCTCTCCCCCCCACCCCCAAGAATTACCTCCAATGACCTGTTTCTTTGGGGAGGGGGTGCTCTGGAGCTGCCAGGCTTGGTCCCTGACATCTCCCGATTAAAAAAAAAAAAAGCAACCAGGAGAGCGCTTCCATTCATTAGACCATAGTGGGGCAGATGATCCAATCTTTCTATATGGCCCTCTTACACAATTCCTGCAAGGAGAACGGCTCAGATGCTTGATTGATGGTTCTTGCCTTATAGCACTTCTTTTTAAGTAAGCCAAGCGCCTCTCATTACATCAGGGAGAAGGAGCATCTGTCATTTACACTAATCGTTTAAAATGTTTTAAAAAGTGGAAAATCCAGAGGTCTGAGAGGAAAGCAGGTGCTCAGACTTCCCCCTCTCCAAAAATGTGATGTTCAGGTAAAATTATATAAGCTATCGGTCTAGATCTTAGGAGGTAACCCTGTCTAGAAGAACAACTGGTTGTACATATACAAATAATGGTCTGAAAATACCTTGTCAGTCATACAGGTGAACTACTGGCATTTGCAAAATATTTCCTGTTTCCAAAACACACAGCCCATCGTGTATTTCTGGTGTCTGCCACTACACTTCCTTTATTTCCCCTGGACACATATTAAAGTAAAGGCGTACAAGACATGCATGCAGGTTTGTGTGTGTGTGTGTGTGGGGGGGGGGCTTTTCTTTAAAAAGTCAGGAAGCTAAATCCAAAACATAGTTAGTTTCAACTGTGCCTACAAATCCGCCAGCCAGCCCTTTCAAAAATGCATCTTAAGCTCGGCTCAGGCTGTCCACAGGAACAGTGAGGTGCAGTGTTATCAAGCCTTTACTCAAGCAGACGTTGCTGTCCTCGCCACAACACACTGAGATCCAATGTCTCTTAAGTGATAAAACATCCACAGTGCCAGTGATAAAACATCCAATGGTTGCAAAGCCTTTTTCTTATGCTTTTATCTTAGGGGACCATCCTTAATCACTTTTGTCCTTATTGTCTAGAAGCACTTTTTATGTAAAAAAAAATAAAATCCCTAAAGATCACTTAAAAGATGATCCCAAATGTAAGGGTAATGAAACCATGGACCTGTACTGTAAATAGACCTGTACTTTTAAAACCACGGTCCGGTATGCTTGGCCTGTGCAGTTAGTCCCAGTGCAACTGCAGGTCCTGGGGGTCGAGGAATTCTGTCGAAAACATACTCGGAGCCGTTGCGCTGAGAGGAGTCAACCCTGACGAACTGTTTGGCATGGTAATATCCAGCCATTCCATGTTATCTAAATTTGTGTCTGGAAGATCGAGAGATAAACAGGAATTCGTAGTTGTGAACTGCGAATCAGATGTTTCCATGGGCGACTGTGAATGGTCTATAATGCCTGAATGGTTAAGAAGGTCATTCTGAAGGTCCTCAATGAGAGAGAAAGGTTCTCTGTCCTCGTTACTGCTGCCCATTGGAGGCATTTCATTCCCTGCAGGTAAGGTTCCTTCCAAGAGTGCTTCCAGCTGGTTCTCCAGACAGATAGAGAAATTGCTCGTTGAAACTAAGGAGAGGGGAGGGGCCATTTGGACCTGGGGTGGCGGGCGAGACACCACTGTGTTCACTGGCATTGTGGTGATATTGGCGGTGACTGGTCTCATTTTGGAAATAAGAGGAGGTTCTTCCTTGGTAGGCAGGGAAATCTCTGCTTGCAAGAAAGGAGACAACATGTAGATCAGAAAGGTACTTTTACTGCTAGCATAACCAGTATACAAAAATTCACTTGCTCACTCCGGTGCACAGCTTCATCTAGGCATTTATGCTCTTGGCAAGCTGAATCTACATTACTTTTGGACAAGGCGAATGACTGTTAGGCAATTAACTGCACTTTATGTAATAAAAGGTAGTTGTGAAACCTCCTTGTTGCCACCATCTGGACAATTGTGTCAGGTATGGCTAATGAGACACATTCCACAATCTACCCTTGCACAAGGGACTCGCATGGCTAGTCCCTTGTCAGAGAGCCAATCATTTTCTTCTTGCAGCGAACTGTCATAAGGCTTTTTAACAGGACTCAAAGCGGCTTAGGACCACAGACCTTTTGCACTGACTGCCAGCAATAAGATCTCTCTTCAACCCGCTGGATTCCAAGTAGATTACTTGGGCTCAATGAAAAACATGGCAAATCCCAGCTGGTTAATGGATTGTCATAAACTTGTCTGATGTGCTTAAGGGTGGAATGCTGCCCAATGGCTACAGCTAAAGTTACTCGCATGGTCAACGCTGCACTGAGAATTAGCTTCCTTTCTATGCTGTACGATGAAAAACTCAAAAACAGTCATAACCTGTTCATCCGATAAAAAGGTAACCGCTGATTCTGTAATATTGCTCCCACGGCAACCTCTGCTCTGGGTTACGGTGAAACAGAACATTGTTTCTTTTTTTGATCTTTGCTTCAGTGCGACTTACCTCCACTCTTAATGAGAATATCGAAGAGGTCATCCATCTGCTGGCTGTGTGCGCTGGACATCTGTAACACAGAGAGTTCTTTACTGATTTTCATCACACGGTTGTGAAAGAGGATCCATTTTCAGGACTAGCCGTGGGTCAGGGTCACGTTGGGGACTGCGTTTGTGAGGCTGCAGCGTCCCCTCTCTTTTGTCAGAACGTGGCAAGCCTTCAAGATCCCCATCTGGCTCTAGACAGCAGAAGGGGCACCATGGCATTTGCAGAGGGACTCCTGCGAACAACCAAATATGGTGCAGGTTTCCACTCATTCTGTTGAACACTAGGCAAGATTTGGCAGTTCTGCAACATGTTTCAAAAGGAACACTCCAAAAGGGAGGATTGGCAGCCCCTCCCAGTGAGTATTTAACTCAAAGATAGGCAAGTCATCTATGGAGATTTAAAGTGTACTACAGAATGGCAGCACGATAGGAATGATAGGAATGGCAGACAGAAACCTGCTCTCTTATTAGAATTCACAATCCAATACAAAACCAACACCTTAATAAAAACCAATCTCGAAAGTTTGCTTGTTTTTAATGCCGGTAATCTGCCGGCACCCTTTTCTATGGGGGGGGGCACTTTTCTAACTTCTTCGCTTGGCAATTGGGTCTCTCATAGACGTAAGACGTAACACTTCTTTTCTCCCCCCCCCACGCTTGTTCAACAAAGTTCATTTGTTTGCGCCGGAGGTGCCCTCCCGACACCGCTTTCAATTGGGGGGGGGAACTCACTTTTAAAACTTTTCGGCTTGATACATCCTCTGGATCATTGTCGGTCTATTCACAGACCTCTTGCAGCCTCGTTATTTCGTTGATCTCTTCTGCTTGTCCCGGTTGGCATCGACTATGCTCAGTGTAAAACTGAGCCACACAGTGGACAGACCCTTTGGGGCTAGAAAGCGCCTCAATTCTCCGGCTTTGCGCCGTCGAAGAGGTCGCCCCCCCCCGCGCCCCCGGCTTGGAGCCTTTTACTAAGGTTCACCTGGGGGTGTCACTTGAGGTGGCACCCCTCCGGACCACTGGTGTGTAGATCGCCTCCCCAGAGGTAGAGGAGAGCGACCGCCATCACCGAGCCACAGACTGGAAGTCCCGTCTAAACCAATCTAAAACCCTAACTCAAACACCAACTTGAATAGAGTAACTGTGGCATAGCAGTTAGTGGGTTGGACTATGATGCAGAAGGACCAAGGTTCAAATCCCCACATTGCCTGGAAAGCCTGGCAGCGTAATCCTGGGCCAGTCACTGGGCGATTCTGCATCTAGCATTTGCTCCACATTTTCTCACCCGGGAGGGAAGAGTGCAGCTCAAAACCACATTCAGATACTGACTGCAAAGTCACCCCAGAATGGCCATAAAACGGCCATAAATCTATGCAGAAGGTACAACAAGAACTCGAAAGTGGCATGGAGCCGCCACCATCACTGTTCCACTAACGCCCTATGATTTCCGCATACTGCCACCCTGGAGCGGGCATCATTGGAAGGAAACGGGACGTCTTTAGGGGACGGCAGGGTAGCGGGACATGCACTGCTGTGGTTGTCTAGCTATGACATTGAGAACACCATCTTGGTCTTAAAAAATCTTAACATCTGGAACTAAATAGAGGAGCACTGAAAATGTTTTTATGATGTTTATCTAATTGTTATTAACCGTCTATTTGTAATTTAACATTTTATATTGTTTTATTGTTTTACTTGGCACTATGCCCTGTTAGCCGCCCTGAGCCTTTTGGGGAGGGCGGGATAGAAATCCAAACAAACAAATAAATAAATAAATAAATAAAACCCCGATAAGCAAAGGAAGTGAAAACCAGCATGCAATGCAGAGGGGAACTTCTGCTCCAACGCGGGTTTCGTAAAACGACGGAGGGAAAAGCCAATGCAGCATCAGCCACTCTCTCTGTCTCTCAACCTATCCTGCCTCCACAGGGTTGTTTGTGAGGATTACACAGAGGTGTAGAGAACCGTGCCCGTCGTACAGGGGAAGAAAGGTAGTTTAAACATGTGATAGAGACAGAATTAATGGCTTTTACATCATGTATCAAAGGAGCATATACCAGGATCTGGGAGTGCAAAGAAGACCCCTCTCCACATGGGCAGCGAATATAAGCAAGGTACAAACAGTCACTGCAGGGGGCACTGGGCAGCAGAGAAGAACAGAGAGCTGTACTGTCTTATTTCACTTTCACTCAGTTCATGGCTTTACATGCTAGACACATGATCTTGAAATGAACGGGAGAAAGCTCGCAGGCTACTCAGCATTAGGAAGTGTAAATAAATTTAAGACATAGTGCGATTCAGAAATTCACAGCTTGCTAGGGAGGACACGAAGCCCAAGAGAGACAGGTTGTTTTCAGGAATATACTGCTGGGGTATGAAAAGAAGGAAGACACATTGCCTTTAACCTCCCCGCTGGCTGCTCCTATTCGTGAACGGGCAAAGCAAGAAACATAACATGGCTAAACGTTATCAGCCATTACTGTCTGGCAGACACCCTACCTCTCGTTGAGAAGCCTGCACACTGCGCGTCTGTTTTATGGCTTCTTCGTAGCGTGGGGGGTCTTTTGCCTTGGTTACCGAAGGGCTGAACAGAGGCTGCTGCATGCCATACTGCTGGGACTGAGGTGGAGAGGCAGGCTGCATGAAATAACAGCAATGGTCAGCAAAGCAAGGCAGAGCAGCAAGCAGACCTTACAAGGCACCCCTACAGGGATTCAGAATGCCTTTAGAGCAATAATGCACTTTACCGTCTCCCCCTGCAAACCCCGCTCTCAATACAGCAGAAAGATGCATGTAAACCCCCTGGCTCATTATCTTACATATGATGAGGATTGTTTGATGAAGTTTTTATTGGCCGATACTTATGATTCTGTCACACGCAATGTTGCTAAATATTGTTACTTGGTAATCAAAAAGCGCAGAATGTATTGTAACTCGAGCCAGTTATGATGGAATTGACCGGTTTGGTATTTTAGTAATTAAGGCCATAAGGATCCTATGTTGTAGATTCTGTGCTGTACTATTTTGGTCTATTTTGCTGGTCTTATGACTGTTCTTAATAAACTTACTTAC